GATTTTGCTTTGTGCGGGTCAGACAAATACCCAGTATCAACATAGCCTAATAACTCATGTCGGGAATCATTCGGGTAAAATAGGCCAAGATCACTTGTCCCTTGAAGATAGCGCAAAATATGTTTAACCCCATTCCAATGTCGTTTGGTAGGAGATGAACTGAATCTGGCCAATAAATTTACTGCAAATGCAATATCTAGCCTAGTGCTATTTGTTAGGTACATAAGTGCACCTATTGCACTGAGATATGGTATTTCTGGACCAAGTATCTCTTCATCATCTTCTTTTGGTCTAAATGGATCCTTGTTAGGATCAAGTGACATGGCGATCATTGGGGTACTTAATGAATGTGCTTTATCCAATTAAAATCGTTTCAATACCTTTTGGGTATAGGCGGTTTGGTGGATGAATATTCCATTATCCACATATTCAATTTGCAGACCAAGACAATCTTTCCAAAGTCTTTGATCTCAAATTCCCTTTTCAGATATTCCACGGCTGATTGGAGCTCTTCAGGAGTCCCAATAATATTGAGATCATCAACATACACTGCAATGATCACGAACTATGACCCATTTTTCTTTATGAAAACACATGGACATATTGGGTCGTTCGTATAACTTTATTTGGTTAAACACTTAGTGAGGCGGTTATACCACATGCGTCCAGACTGTTTGAGTCCATACAGAGACTTTTGTACTTTAATGGAGTAACATTCTCTGGGATTTAATTTGCATGCTTCAAGCATGTCATATCCTTCAGGGATTTTCATATAAATATCATTCTCCAGTGAGCCGTACAGATAAGTAGTAACTACGTCCATAAGACGCATATCAAGTTTTTCGTGCACGGCTAGACTTACTAGGTATCTGAATGTGATACCATCCATTACTGGAGAATATGTTTCATCATAATCAACCCCAGGTCTTTGTGAGAATCCTTGGGCTACAAGTCTCGCTTTGTATCGGACAATTTTATTGTCCTCATTTCTCTTTCTCACAAATACCCATTTGCACCCAACTGGCTTAACACCTTCCGGTGTTGGAATTATAGGTCCAAAGACATTTCCTTTGGCCAGTGAGTCTAATTCAGATTGGATCGCGTCTTTCCATTTTGGCCAATCATTTCTTTTCCGACATTCATCAACTGATGTTGGCTCGGGATCCTCTTCATTTTCCATTATATCGAGTGCCACATTATATGAAAATGCATTATCAATTATTGTTTTATTTCGGTTCCAACTCTTATTTGTAGTGGTAAAGTTAGTTGAATTTTCAATAACTTCATTTTCTTCTGAGGTAGGCTCTTCAGGAGCATCATCTTCAAGTATTTGTTCTATATCACTACAAATTGTTTGAGGGACTAAATCATTGTTCAATATCCTTTTCTTTCGGGAATTTTTATCCTTGAAACCTACAGGTCTGTCACGCTTCAGGTGCACAGAGGATTCATTGGCACTATTCATTTGTCATTTTGGGACATTTAGTTTTTCCGGTGCATTTTCCGCAGGAATATACGACCTGGTGACTCTGCTGAAGTCATTAAATGCATCCGGTAATTGATTTGCAATTTGTTGCAAGTGTATAATTCTTTGTACTTCTAATTCACACTGCCGTGAACGAGGATCCAGGAAATTCATAGGTATTTTCCAAGAAATTTCCTTTTTCAGTTGATTTTGTTCTCCCCATAATGTCGGAAAATTTGTTTCGTCAAAATGACAGTCTGCGAATCGCGCATTAAACAGATCACCCGTCATTGGTTCGAGGTATTTAATTATCGACGGTGATTCATACCCGACATAAATTCCCAAATGGCGTTAGGGGTCCATCTTTGTACGCTGAGGTGGTGCAATTGGCACGTAAACTGCGCATCCAAAAATCCTCAGATGAGATATATTGGGCTCTTTTCCAAACACTAATTGTGTTGGGGAGTATTTCTGATAGTTTGTCGGTCTTATTCGCACAAGTTCTGTTGCATGTAATATTGCATGTCCCTAGGCAGAAACGTGGAGTTTGGATTTCATCAGTAATGGTCTGGAAATTAATTGCAATCTTTTGATAAAGGATTCTGCTAGACCATTTTGGGTGTGAACATAAGGAACGAGATGTTCCACAGTTATCCCCAAAGTCATGCAATAATCGTCGAATGCTCGTGACGAATATTCACTAGCATTGTCGAGACAAATTTTCTTTATTGGATAATCAGGAAATTGTGCTCGCAGTTTAATTATTTGTGCAAGCAACCTTGCAAACGCAATATTACGCGTAGATAACAAGCATACGTGTGACCATCTTGTTGATGCATCAAGAGCACCATAAAGTATTTAAATGGCCCACATGGTGGATCTACAGGTCCACATATATCACCCTGAATTCTTTCAAGAAATGATGAGGATTCAATCCCAATTTGGTTGGTGACGACCTGATTATCAATTTGCCTTGTGAGCATGCAACACACGCGAATTCATTTGAATTCAAGATCTTTCGATCTTTCAATGAATGACCAATGGAGTTTTCGATTATTCGCCTCATTATGGCATTTTCAGGATGCCCGAGCCGATCGTGCCAAATCGAAAATTCATTTGATTGCGTAGACTTCAGGTCTACTGCATATGTTTCAACGGTACTTATTTTGGCATAATACAAGCCAGAGGACAATGAAGGCAGTCTCGCAACTGCACATTTATTTCCATTGATGATTTTTGTAATCACCAAATATTCATTATTTGCCTCGTCTATTGTTTCAATATGATATCCGTTTCTACGAATATCAGTGAAACTCAGCAAATTTCTTCGAGCTTTACTCGAGAATAGTGCATTTTGTATTTCGAGCCTGATTCCTTCGGGGAAATAGATAAGGGCTCTTCCAGAGCCTTCAATTGTTGCACTCCCACTTATTGTACTGATTTTTTATTTTCCCAACTTCAGGCGGGAGAAATGCCTTTTGTATTTCAATATTGTGTGCGTAGTCGCACTATCAATTAGGCAAATATTGTCCTCTTTATAATGTGTATTTTGACACGTGGCATTCATATTCTTTTCAGAATAAAACGAACAAAAAGACAATATATTAATATAGCCGATGGAATACAAAATGATACAAAAAATGGGGTATTACAAAAAGTAGAAGGGGTACAAAAAGTAATAAAACAGTAAAGTACATAGTCACTTGGCACCTTCAGGGTGCTCAAGGAAATCTGCTGTATCAAGATGCATAAGGTCGCTGTTTAGGACATCATCATATGTGTCATCATTGTTCTGTTCAACGAGGTTTACATCAGCAGATGTGTTCTTCAAGACATCATCATATGCGTCATCATTATTCTGCTCAGAAAGATTTATATCAGCAGACGTATTTTTCCCTTTCACCGAAGCTTGGAACAAATCAACCAAATGCTTAGGAGTTTTGCAGACTCGCGACTAGTGTCCCTTTGTGCTGCACCTATGACACTTATCTTCATAATTTCTTTTCTGCTCGTCATTCTGCCACTTCAGGGGCTTATATGGTCTTTTGCCATTATTTCGACGAGGCTGGGGACGGTCGCGTCTTTGGCCTCTGCCATCTCTCTGGCCTTTGTTGTTTCTGCGGCCTGGATTAGCAGACTGTACCGCATTTGCTTCAGGGAATAGGGTGGAACCTGTTGGCCTGGATGCATGATTTTTCAATAATAATTCATTATTTTGCTTTGCCAACAGAAGACATGTAATGAGATCAGAATATGTTCTGAAGCCTCTCTTTCGATATTGCTGCTGTAAAATCACATTCGAGGCATGGAATGTGGCGAATGTTTTCTCCATCATATCACCATCAGTAATATTCTCGCCGCATAAGTTCAACTGTGAGGTGATCCTGAACATGGCGGAATTATATTCGGTGACCGATTTGAAGTCTTGCAACCTCAAATTATGCCAATCGCTGCGTGCTTTCGGCAGTATGATCAACTTCAGGTGATCATATCTTTCTTTCAATTTATTCCACAAGTCAAGAGGATTCTTGACTGTGAGATATTCCATTTTCAATCCTTCATCGATATGATGTCGGAGGAATATCATTGCCTTCGCTCGGCTATGATTGGTAGCATTGTTGCCTCGCACAATCGTTTCACCCAGGCCCATCGATTCCAGATGCATTTCAACATCCATAGCTCACGATAGATAATTTTTGCCAGAAATGACAAGTGGGACAAATTCTTGTTTTGCAATGTTAGAAGCCATAATAATATTGAAATATACTTACTGTGCCGAAAAAACTGATCGTGCTGATAACGTATTATGTAATAATATTATAATATTTGATAAGTATATATATATTTGGTATATAAATATAATATATGTATATATGAAATATAGATATATGTTTGCAGTATATAATGATTGCTTCTAAAATATTATATGTATGTATGCAGTTATGTATGTATAGCTGTTTACAGAGGGAATTGATGAAAGAAAGTATATCGTCTTATTTCATTTGCTCGCCTATTTATAGGACTTAAACCGCCTTAAATGAATGGTAGTATGCTAGCCAATTGATTCTCTAGTTATAAATAAACACGTAGTTAACATGCATCTATATCACATATATTACAACAATAATAATAATTTACCACAGATATAGAGCAAATTTTGTAATTATACTAAAATATATTGTTTAATGGTGATAATCTGAATAGTATTCTTATGACGGTGATGATTGAAATTTGAGATTACACCGTTGATGAATTAAAATTGTATAAATAATACTACCTCCGTTCCGACTTTAAAAATCTCATTTACTGTTAATATTTGAATATTAATTATTATATCAAACGTAATTAAAAAAATTACAAAAAACATTTCCATTAATACCTTACAAAAACACTTCGATTAATAGAAGAATATTTGGAAAAAAAAAAATTATAAAAATATAACGCAGATGGAGGAAGTATTTTATTTTGTTTGATGATTGAAATTAATATTTTTTATGACATTATATGTTAATGTTATAAATTTTGAGGCAATTAATACAAATTTGATAATGTATTATTTATTAAGATTTATATAGACAGTGCACCATGTTGAGCATATAACAACATTGAGTTGTCACATCTATAACTCCAACCATTTCGAATGACCTACCTACCAGAAATTGACAAAAACAAAAAAGAAGAAACAAGGAGATAAAACACAATTAAGTTAATTAAGAAGCTAAAATTAATACGTTCAAGTCTTACATATTCTTGACGACGGAAATGACTCGGCGAGCAAGGTCCTCAGCGGCTATCGGCCAAAGGCAGCACAAATGTGGATCATCATCAGTGAAGCCGCATTCTACTTTGGAACAAAATGACACCGTCACCACCGAACCAATCTGCACATGTTCTTGGCACTCGGATACCTCACATTCCGACAATTCTCTGCCAAGTTTCTCATAGATCGTATGCAGCAGCAGTGATGACTCCCTTTCCCCTTCTTTGGTATTGATATTGATATTGATATCGATGGGCCAACAGTAAGCAAACTTCACCAGGTGGTTTTCGTTTTCTTTTTCGCTCTGACTTATGACTTTTGGGGCCTCACCACTTAGCAGCATACCATCACTTAGTCTGTCATCACAAATCTGTAGAGGAGGAGGATGTGGTTCCATGTTGTCTGCTGCATCAGAAGTTGTAGTAGAGAACTTTATGTTTGGGTACGAGCAGCTCTGCAGGAATGCGTCCGAGGCGTTGACTTTTATGTGAAGTGTGGAAGGAATGGATAGGGCTTCATTGTTTGCCGGGTAGTAGCATTGCATTCCTAATTCAGATTCTATCTTTTCTTTAAGTGCAGCCATCTTAGGCTTTTCGCCATGTACAAGAATCACATGCTTCGGGGATAGGAATGTGATGAGATCCATGATTCCTTTTGCATCAGTGTGAGGACTGAAAGACAGTTGATGGATCTGAGACAACGAAACCCCAAAGAGATCAAATTTTGGAAATCAAAATCAACAAAGTACCATTATGTACGCACTTTTGATAACTGGATTCTCGAATAGATCAAAAGGAAAGGAAAATGTTATTGAAGAGATAAAACTCCTAAGTGAGAGCTCGAACCTGGCATCTCACGTCAATTTGGACATCATCATCGAGCCTAATTTTGGTAGGTGTTTTGGCTGACATCAGCTTGTGTCCTATGGTTCCAGCCACGCAATATCTGATACATACAAACACCCGTAGGTGAGGTCGAGACCATTTTCAAGTTGCAAACTAGGGAATTTGCAACATTTTCACAACAAAAGCACTTCCAAGGAAACAGTTGAAAATGCTGTGACAGTTTGTATATTCTTAAAGATATAATAACGTGCGCATCAATTCTGCCCATGCATGAGACATGCATATGACCAAGTAGGACATTAATTATTTGTTTGAAAGAACCTTGCTCAAATCAAATAAGAAGGTAACGAAACAAGAACATAGCATACCCTGGCAGAGTGACAAGATTATGTTCATATGGAGCCCACTGCTTGAAAACTTCAAGTGAGAAGCCACCACTAATCATTCCAGGAGTAGCAAAAAGTACGCAAGGTCCCGCAGCATTAATGAGGGAACGATCGAAGCTGCGAACTGCAATTTTGTGCTTTAGTTAACTTGCAATTGAGCTTCGAACACTCACACACACACACTCAAATATTCAAAAACATAATACTGAATTGCTTTCATCTGTAAATGGATAGCAAGAGATAAAGTTAAATGGCAGCTATCATACCATCAAGGATTGAAATCTGGATTAAACAAAAGTATGATGTAACACAGAAGTACTGGACAAACCATTTTTGAACTCAAATGCATTGCGCACAGCATACGCATCTTTGACTTTTTGGCTGGTCCAGTTGATGAGAACTTTATAGTATATATTCGCTTGCAAGGTCAAACCTAAGAATAAAGTCCGTTAAAATTTGAAATTACACTTGGAAAATATGAGTAACTCTGAAAAATTGGATCAATAAATCAAGTAATCCAACTCAAGAATTTCAACTATATTAAACATGATACCGACATTGAAGTAAGTTGCATACTTACATAAACTATAAATAATATTGACAGAAGATGAAGTTCTATAAATAATCTAGTATCTCACTATGCACCTTTTACCAAATCACAAACAAGAATATTAAGTCATAAAGTGATTATAAATCATTATTAGAGTAACAAACAAATCTTAAATGTTAAAAAAAAGTGTTCTGCACAAAGTTACAAGGTCAAGACGTTTAAGTAAGAAAACAACAATATCTTGTGATGCACATCTTGCCAATCTTAACAAACCCTCTAGTCTTATCATTTTGAATTGATATATGATGATTTACTAGAGTTGTGATATGTTAGATTAGGCCAGTTTAGAATAGCCCATTAGTTATTGTATGTATTTATTTATATATGTTAACTCTTTGTAAGCATAGATTATTGGGAATACAGTACACAACTACATGGTATAGAGCATGTACAACAAAACACATAGCGGAAAAGGCGACATTTGGCTAAAGTAGGTAAGAGGAATTTGATGATTAAGAACACCAAGGAGAAGATTAATACAAAATCAGGCGCTCAAAGTAGCATCAACCCCAAAATGAAACAGAACATGAAGATGCAAGAGAAAGGTATAAGCCATCTCACCCAAACGACCATCCTTGCGCTCAACCACCTCAGTTATACTAGAGGGTGAAAGGATAAGAAGACTAATAAATAATCCCAATGGAAGAAATAGAATTGCTAAAAAAGTGAGAAAATTTATCCTCGACCATTATCACTCCACAGAATTTTAATAGATGTATGAAATTATGTACGAACTTCTGCACAACGTTTCAAATATAGAACAGCTTAACTTGATTCTTTGTCAACTAAAAGTGAGTACAATGAAAAATCATCATTGTAAGTAACAAGATAATGAAAACCAAGAGTTAAATTAGTACAAAGAGAATCCCAAATATCTAAATGAACTAAATCAAAGAGATCAAAAGCCGGATTATTGACGTGCTTGGAAATGAAAGTGCCAGACTACTTCCCAAACTTATAGGTCTCGCATGGTAATGAAGACAATGCAAGAAGATAAGGAACAAAACACTACAATTTTGACATGTTGGCATGACCGAACTGCTGATAAAGAAATTGAAGAGACTCGGGAAGAACAATAAAGGTAGAGGAAAGAAGAAAAGGCTCGATAAGATAATGCAACCTATGATACTTATGTCTGGTACCAATCATTCATCCCATGATGCAATCTTGAATAACAAAAGAATTACCAGTCAATGAGAAAAACAATTCAAAGCCTTATCTCGTTGACCATCATATATGAGATTAAACAGTCTCTAAAAACATAAAGAACATAATAAGTAAACTAGGTGACGAAACGCATTAACACCAGCTTAAGGATATGCTTTAGCACTATTACCAATAGTAGCATAGAAACGGATGTGATGGATTAAAGTTGGAGAACGAAGAAAGATTATCAAACAAATAGTCAATGTCATGTCCTCAAGTTTTTAGTAATGCTTGTCTGTCATATGGTTTGCAGCTTAAATTTTCATTTATGTTCCTAATAGTCTATCTAATCTCATATATGCTACTTAACTTACTAAGACTTTTAATTGTCCTATCATATTGGTAGTTCCTTGTTATTAAAGACTGCAACATAGGGTGACAATGGACATTGGACATGAGTCTCATGAATTGTATTACCACGCCGAGCCCCTTCATTTTTCATCTACTCTAGATGTTGTTTCTACCGAGTCTCTTGAGATACTTCATCAACAATGTGATCATCCAAACTTGTTCAAATTAGTGTTTCTCCCTCATCTTCCATTAGTATCTTCGTTACCATGCAAGTCTTGCGAGCTTAAGATCTCATGTTTTCCTTCCCTAAGCGTGTGGCCAATCGAGCCTCTAAACCCTTTGCTTTAGTTCATTTAGATATCTAGGGAGTGGGGTCAGTGTCATACTATATTTACACTCAGTATTTGTTATTCCCATTGATTATTTTTCTCGTTGTACTTGGGTTTATATGAAGAAAGATCGATATGATTTTCCATTTATATTCCAAAAATTTTATACAGAAGTTCATGCACAATTCATACCTTTATTAGATTTTGCTAAATAATAATGGTAACGAATATTTTTCGCACTGTTTTGGCAGGTTTCTTTCCCCATTGGGATAATTCATTAATCATCTTGCGCTTCCACCCCCAGCAAAATAAAGTGTTGACTATAAGAATCCTCATTTGGTTTAGATTAATCATACTTTCTTGTTACATCAACGTGTTCTATTTTGTTTTGGGGGTTAATGTTGTCTTGAGCTCTTGTTTCCTTAGCGCTTCACATATGCTATTCTTTGCCATCACATTCATATTGCCTACCTAATGTCTCTTTAACTCCTTTACCTTTGCATATTTTTTTGTTGTATCTTTTACTCAGAATCATTCTCCTTGCTTGAATAAATGGAGTTTTCAGTTGATCAAATGTTTTTATCTTGGGTATTATGAGGTTCAAAAAGGTTATTTAGTGCTATTCTTTTCTCATTTGTTTGGTACTATTTCGATGAAGATGTTAGTTGTCACCAATGTTCTTTGGGCCGCCATCTTCATCTCCTCCTACGTGTTCGTTCCATGTGACACCGACTCCCTCTTTTGTGCTTTGGTTTCTCTTTTAATCATGTCACTTTCTTTTACACCAATTCAAGTTTGTCACTATTAGACATAACATCATCAGCGTCCATCTGCATTGTTATCTTCTTCATCACATTTTCCAACTCTTGCCACTACTGATGACTGATCTTCGATCCCATCATTTTCCATGCCCACAACTCCACCATCTCTAATTGTTCTTCGCCGAGGTACTCAATCGACTTATAATCATAATCTTGTTTATCATCCACTTAGTCATCATTATTTTACCTCCTTCGTTATGTAGTATTTATTGTATTGCTTTAGATTATGTTTCAATTCCTCTTTTTTTGGCATCAAGCTTTAGGCCTTTCAAGGTGTTGTAAGGTTATTGTATAGAAAACTACTATTTTGTATACTAACAATACTTAAGAGTGGGTCCCTACCTCTAAGCAAGAATCATGTGGCTTGTCGATGGACTTATATGGTGAAAGTTAACCCTAATGACCTTAATGATCACCTCAAGGCTCAGCTTATAACAATGAGCTTTACTACGGTATATGGCAAGAACTACAAGAAAACATACTACCAGTCGCCAAGATCTCATTGGTTCACCATGTGACCGGGAAGAACTAAAAGAAGGCTAAAAGAACTCTCCAAACCTTCTAGAAGGTTTAGTGCCTTGTCAATCTTCTAAGATCTATTTATTTCAATTCCTTATGTAAATATTAAAATAGTATAGAAGCTTGTAGAACTTTAGACTATTCTAGGACATCGCTCTAGATCGTTGGATCAAATCAATCTTAATTCATTGTGGACTTGATACAAAATGGTTACCCTCATTTGTAAATCATTCAAGAATGTTGAGCAAGAGAACTTCTCTCTAGTTTGGTATGCATAACAAAGTTCACAAGTCAATGATGGGGAAAGGCTTGGCTTAGTGTCTCGATAGAGAGTACTAAACAACACACGGTTCTACTCGACAAATTGAATAAGCATGTGAAACTAGTCTCTAAATCAATTAGACATTAAAAATATCTTCTTACATGGCAAGCTTCAGAAGAAAGTGTACATATAGCAACCTCTTAATTTTGTTTTACGGGGAGTTTGGTTTCATTTTTTCACCTTCATCGATCACTCATGGCTTGACACAACCTCCACAAGCATAGTTCGAACAATTTTGCCTTGCTATTCAAGGATTCAGAATAATATATCGTGCATCAGATCATATAGTATTCTATAACAATGCATAGATTTGATAGTCGATGTCGATATTGCCATAATTAAGGATTCTGCAGATGACATCATAAGGTAGAAGAAGCACTTGCACAGCTATTTTCAAACTAAGGCTCTAGGGCCATCAAAGTACCTTCTAGGGATTACAATTGTCCAATCAAAGAATGGTGTTGGTATGTCACAAAGCAAGCTTTATATGGTGGAAGAAAAATGCATGACCAAGCAAAAAGTTGTGGAATCATCTATGGATCCAAAAACAAAACTACTTGAATAGAGAAATCTATTAGCTGATGCTAACGTATAAATTTGTTGGGAAGCTTAATTATTTAACTGTCACTTGACTAGATACGATTGCAATAAGTATGGTGAGTAGTTTCTTCAATCTCTCCGTAACGCTAATTGGAAAGCACTTATGTTTATTTTATGGTAGATTAAAGGGACTCTTGGGAAAGATTTGCTATACGCAAACCATGGCCACTCAAAGCTTGTTGGATACTTATATACAAAGGGGGGGTAGGGGGCAAGGAGAGATAAGCATGATGGGAAAAGAAACCCCCACCTATGGGGCAAGGCTACATCCTCATTCCCAATTGGTACAGTCTTAGTTGATAAGTGATCTACCTTGAATTATTTTGTATTTGTTTGAGTTAATTTGATAACTTGAACGAGTAAGAAACAAGATGTGGTTGTACGTTCCAATGCTGAAGTCAAATATTGTATCATGGCCTTAGCTATATGTGAGCTCATCTAGATGAGGCAGTTACCTTGTGGTATGGTAATCAAACAACATTGCATAATTTTTCAAGTCCCGTGATTCATAGCGAACAAAACACATTGAAATTGATTGTTACTTCATCAAAGAAATGGCATTATTTGTGTGTGTACTGTGTAGATACCGAGTATGCATCCTTAAACTGATCAATTTGCAGACGTATTGACAAAAGCCTTCTAAAAGTTTTTGGTTTAAGTTCAAATGTAACAAATTTAGATCATATCACTTGTACACTCTAGACTGAGGGGAGGGCAAATGTCAAACTAGGCCCATTTAAGTAGGTAGCTTAGGCTTGTTTAGGTTTCTTTAGATTACTTAAATGTATCTATTTATATGTGTTAAATTTTTGTACAAATACATTATTAAGAACATAACGCATTTTTACACATGAAAAACCATTATAGTGCATAGCAACCAATCACATAATATGGTAGTTGAATGTACCTGCCGAAAAATAAATTGGAACAGTAAGATTCATTCTTTCCCAGTAGTCATCCAATAGCATACATAGTTCCTGTAAAATAATATCATCAAGAAGGCAAGAAATAAAAATAAAAAAACTTATATATATACATGTTTTCCGGTGCTAGAGTTTAAAAGTCTATTACCAAAGAGAAGTTATAAGTTCAACATTAGAGTGTTTCCTATCAAGTACAACCGTTATCGCTTACTAGATATAAATAGTTAATCAATGAAACACAGTTGGACTATTACAATTGGGATCATGACCAATACAACATAGATCTACCCTTTGAAATAATGTATTTCAGAACTTAGAGCAACACTTAAAGAAGTAAATGATCTTTCTATGTGCCATATAGAAACAATCAGTATCGATAGAGCAAACTAATATTGTGCGTTGTACTTCGAGTCAAACACATTAAGAAATATAATTTTATTGCAAAAACATTGATGTGAATGCACATAAATAAAATAAGCAATTTTTTAAAAGACAGAGAACCATTAAGGGTGTGTTCGTTTACACGAAAATTTTCAACACATTTTTCCGAAAAAATTAATATATTACAGACACTTATTATTTTTATATTATCTACACAATTCCCTACATCTCACATAAAAAATATTCTTCCAAACCAAAACACAAAACAAACACACCTTAACTCCTTGGAAATTGAGAAATTGCTACCTCTTGATCATGCACTATTCATTTTATAAAATCAGCTCGAACACATTTTATTGATTGAAGATATTTGAACATAAAACCTCCTATCCCTGAAACATAGTTAAATGGCAACCACACCTAAAAGACAAAGTTGATTTGGAGATGAAATGGGTTTGTTTGTTTTGTGTTTTGGTTTAAAAGGAAATATTTTTTATGTGAGGTATAAAAAATTGTGTAAATAATATAAAAATAATAAATGCGTGTAATATATTAATATTTTTGAAAAATGTGTTGGGTAGTTTTGAGAAAAAGAACACATCACTTATTTTAAAATAATCCCTTCAATTGAAGCTTACACAAAATGCATCTATGTTTATGATGCATTACAAGAACCCAACTATGTTTCTAGGCACTTGACTCATTGTACTGATGCACATATATGATAGGATTTAATTTAGCTAAAAATTAGATTATATCAGTAAGACTGAGAATATTTGGTATCAATGTCTTTTAATCATCAGACATTGTCACAACCTTGGGCTATTGTAAAGTAATTTTGAACTAAAATGGACATATTGGTGCCCTTGGGAATTTGTATATGGCAGTATATGAATGCATCTCTAGCTTTTTAAAGTCCAACAAAGTAAAGGAAAAACTAATAAACACACCTGAGCTCTTCCCAAAGCAAACGTAGGTATTAGCACTTTTCCTCCACTAGCAACACATTTGTGAACCTGAAAGAAAAATCAATGGCGCATAAACTGGAGCAAGCAAAAAAACAACCATCAACAAAAACTCAAATACATTTATCATTCATAATCATGGTCATCTAAATTATTCCTATCGTAGCTGAACTCTGTGTAAACAACATAAGTTGGAACACACAGTACAACACATCCCTATTTATGGAATCCAAATTGCCTATGAGAATAATATTTTTAGATAAAAATTCATCCAAGCATTACCATTGAAGGAATAAATTGATAAAGACCAGGCACATTATCACTTCTATGTATGATAAATATCATTTTTCCATAATAACTAACAACAATTTAAGCATGCGGTAGCGAGTGATTACAAAGGTGTGTGCTGTTGCGTTTTCTTCCCTAGTTTTTTTACTATTCAACCTAATTCTTTTCCCTCAAAAGAGTATCATATCCATCACTCATTTTACATAATAATTTAAAAAGAAAAAAAAAAAAAAAAAAAACATTCAATAACGATTATTGCCTCAAAAACATCAAAACACAAAAGAATACACCCTAGGCTTTAGCTACAAAGTGAAAGATCTGGAAAGACAGATGAAAGCTATAGCCAATATACATAAGTAATACCTATAAACTTGCAAAAAGTAATTTTGAGCTTTGTATTGGAAAGTATGCATAACTTGAAATAAATACAACCAACAATTCAAGACGATAAGACAGAATAACATAAAATATAGTCTAGTGAGTACACATTCATACTGCTTTAAGAAATTCCCTCTCCCGAACATATTTTGAATCACGGTAGGTTGTTGCATAAGTTGACCTGTCCAAAAAAGTTAGGATGCCTGGATGTAAGGAGATATATGCAACCACTAAAAGAGCAAACCCTAAAACAACAACAATACTACAACCCTAATTGTCTTCAGGCAACACAATAGCTACTCCACAAATCATCCACCATATATAAGTTCTAAATTTGTGCCATCTTGGAACACATTCACTGAAGGCGTCTGGACAGTCATCCAGAAAAAAAAATAAAAAAAAATAAAAAAAGTTGTGGCTATGTCTAATGTGGTTCTGTGAAGCTCAAAAATCTCAAAAGGAAAGCTTCCCTTCATTTATATTATTGAAAACCATTGTCATCAATTAAGTCATCAGACATATTGATGAACATCCAATTTTAACTCGGAGGATCATGGATTCACACAATAAATATGACACTTACTCAGTTATAACAAGATCCAGCTGCAACTTGTCAATTTGAGCTGCTCCAAGATGTTTATCAGGAGTCATATTGTAATCCCCAGTGTACACTATGGCAGAATCTCCAACTTTGGCATAAAACATTGCAGCCCCAAGAACCTACCAAACATATTTGCATATTATTGGTCATAACTTGAATTATCTCCAACAGAAAACAGACTTCAGAGAAGTACACATCAAGCCATTCCAAACTTCCATATGAATGATGAATGATGAATGCTGATATCAATTGGCCCTGTCTTTCAATAATGAAAGCTCTAGGACAAAATTATACATGGAAGCCTGAAGGTTACTGCAATGTGATAGAGAGCAGGATCAAAAAGACTATGAAGTTAGGATTAAAGAGAAAGTAGAGTCTCGGCCGATGCCTGTATATAACGGGGTTGGGCTTAGGCCTGCTGTCCACGGGTTTAAATTTTATTTATTTGCTTTTATATTTAGATAGTATATTTTGAAGGCTTGCCTCTTAGTTATTGGGTGAACTTACTTTATCTTAGTAACTAGGGTTTACTAGAAGAATTTAAGGAGAACTAGGGTTTGGAAAATATTATTCTTTATATTAGATATCAAGGAGCCTTTTGGGCAAACGTTTATTTTGTTTGATTGTTCTTTGGGCATACAATTGATATTGTTCGATTACCCTATTGCTTTTAATGTATTCTAACAATTGGTTTGACCTACCGAATCTCGACCCCATCGTCATGGCAGCAACAAGATCAAGATCAACAGGATAGTAACTAGATAAACTTAAAGCCGATCAAGTTGAGATAAAGAAAAATATGAAGGCGACTAACATTCATTTAGCAAAAATCTTGGCAATTCTAACCGAATTCTCAAAGGTGATTTCGAAACCCTCTGGATTGAAACAATCAGCAACAGGTCAATGCAGGAAGGGTAGCGCCGCAACGGAAGTCGACACACCGCCACCACCAGTGATTGTGCCACGTTTCGTCGTAGCTCCCATAAGCTATCTGCCAAATTTTACGGGCCCTTCCTAGTCACGGCACAGGTTGGCCCTTCAGCCTACAGGACTTGCCCTGCTAGCCAATAGCCGCATTCATCCCGTATTTTATGTGTCGCAGCTGTGTCGCATGGTGGGGAAGCATCCAGTTGAGGCTGAACTACCAGAGAGCCTCAAATTTCTTAAGGAACCAACGCTCAAGCCTGAAGAGGTACTAGCTTGGCATTCAGCAAAAATGACCGCTACGCGCAACAACCAACTCTTGGTAAAATGGATAGGACATTCCGCCGACAATGCCACTTAGATGGACAAGGATGACTTTCAAAGTCAATTTCCAAATTTCAACATTGGGGACAAGGTTGTTTTAGAGGCTGATGGAATTAATAGAGAGCCAGACCAAGCACTCGAGAATGAAAAAGGGCCGAGACTCTTACTCCTGTATAGAAGGCGGGGACGGGATTGAGCTTGCCTTCGCAAGCCTAGGATATTAGTCTGCTATTAATTATTATTAGTTGGACCTTTATTGGATTTGGGTTTTATTATATCATTGGGCTTGCGTCTACCTAGGGTATAAATAAGGTGATGGTTGGTTTTTACATTCATTGATAATTCAATTAGGTTTTGGAATTGTAGACAAATATATGGATCAATTTATTTTAGGAAACAAATATCTTGTTTCCCTTGTATAGCTAGAGATCCCATGATTCATGGAATAATATATATCATAGTTTCCTTCTATATTTATTAAGGTTGTTTTGTATATAAGTCTTCCTATCCTTGTATGTAAGATGAACGGTTTTTTTATAGAATTAATTTTCTTCTTCATTTGATTTTTCTATTCAAAATCTGAGATGTATTAGAGTAACTCTTTCTTGTGAACTGTTTTTTATTCTGTAAGTTTTCTTTCCTCCGTTCGACCAGCCTTAATTGCTGAGTTTTCTGGACTATCTCTCAAAGCTTATTAGTCCTAATCACCGGAGGCTGCAAGTTATAATATTCCAAACCTAAAAGACACTACATAGTCCAAGGAGGAAATTGAGAGGTTAAGGTCTCTAATCAACTGCCTTGAGAAGCCTTCAAGTACTTGTTCATTGGTATATTCAAGTATGTTTCCTATTTCCATTGGATTAAATGATTCAAACACACTATTTACCAATTTTTGGATCATGGACTCCGGACCCACCGATCATATGACCCACTAATCTAAATACTTTTCAACCTATACCCCAAGTCCGGAGCCACCGATCATATGATCTCTAACAACTGTTGCAAAAGTAGAAGATGTTCTAATAAACCCTACCATGACCCTTAAAAATGTCCCCAAAATTATCCACCAATCTTGTTTCTATACGAAACTTATCCAAGATCTATCATGCAATGTGGTTTTTTAATAGTGGTTGTTATATGTTTCAGGACAAGGTTTCGGGGAGGACGATTGGACGTGCTAAAGCAAAGGGCACCCTTTATTACCTTGAGATGCCAAGACAGCTAAACCTGGTCCAGAGTAAAGATCTAATGTCAGAAAGTCGTTTATCCAATAAGAAGAAAATTCATCTTTGCCATTGTTGTTTAGACATCCATAGTGCTCTTAAGGTCTTGTTTCCCATTTTGTTTTCGGATTTAAGCATTGAGGAATTTCATTGTGGTGTGTGTGAACTCGCCAAACATAAGCGAGTGTCTTTTCCCATTAGTAATAAGAGAAATTATGTTATTTTTCACCTCATTATTCATACTGATATATGGGCTCCTACTATTCCTAGTGTCTTTGGAGCACGATGGTTTGTTTCTTTCATTGATGATTGTACCCGTGTCACTTAGTTGTTTCTCTTGGAGTCCAAGTCTGATGGTAATATTGTTCTACCAAATTTTTGCTCAATGGTCAAAAATAAATTTGAGGTGTGGGTTAAGAGATTTAGGTCTGACAATGGGATTATTTCAATCAAGTCCACACTCATTACTTTCAAAATAATGGGATTATTATGTCTCGTAAGGGATGGCCTGGTGGTGTGGGAGTTGGACAGGTTATGGGTTCAAACCCCCGACGCTTCAGGTCACCTGCCACATATAGTTCGCCTAGTGTGACTTGCCTATCGGGCCTAGTTTGCAGGGTATTAGGTTCGGTCGGGTGTTTACCCAGTGCGCACTTTCGAGTAGCGGCTGCGGATTCCCACGTCATAAAAGAAAATAATAATAACAATAATGGGATTATTCATGAGTCATCTTGTGGGTGTACTTAACAAAATGGAGTAGCAGAGAGAAAAAATGGTGACCTCCTCGAGAAGACTCAAGGAATGTCCTTTCAATATGGTGTACCTAAAACCTTTTGGGGGGAAGCATATCTTACAACCGCACATCTCATAAATCATTTGCCTTCTCATGCCTTGCACCACAAAAGTCCAATGGAAGTTCTCTCATCCTCTTATCCCGACTTAAGAACCACATATAATCTTGTTCCTAGAGTCTTTGGGTATGTGTCTTTTGTTCATATACATGATCCGAACAGGGGAAAAGTGGATCCTAAAACACAAAAATGTATCTTTGTAAGGTACTATTCCACTAAAAAATGATACAAGTGTTATCATCCTCCATCCAAGAAATTCTTTGTGTCAATACATGGTTACATTCAATGAAAATGAATCTTATTTCACTCATTTAAATCTCTTCACTAGTCCCGAGTGTAGTCCTTTTTTGCATGAACCTACTGCTATAATTCCTTTGCCTAAATGTGTTGTGACACTCCGGCTAGCAAACCACGCAAAGTCGGCATGTTGGGATCGCAAGCTGGCCCCACAAGTCAATACAAGTCCTTCCAGCGCGCTTTTGTTCTCACTCACGCGCACCCTGGAAGACTTCTCAAGGGGTCACCCATCGTTTAACTTTAGAGTTCTTTCAATAGGGCTCTCAAAAAAAAAAATATGCACAGAAGTAGTCTATTCAATCAATTTAACCTCTAATCAACTTTGAATGGCCTAATACCGGCTCATCCACACACAGGAGTTGGCCAAGCAACAACCCAACTCCGGAGGTATCACATCTTCCCCCACTTTAGAATGCAACGTCAATGTTTCAACCCAAGGACCGTCAACTGCTAAGCCAACAGTCAGGTCAACGACTATGGGCTGTCGCAGGTCGGCTATGATACCAACTGTGACACCCCGGCCCGCAAGCCACGTAAAACCGAGTGTGTCAGGATCACATACTGGCCCCACAGGTCAACACGAGTCCTTTCAACGCGCTTCTATTCACACTCAGGCGCACCCTGGAAGACGTCCCAGGGATCATATTCTCAAATTACTCTAAGGATAAGCACGTTTAACTCTAGAGTTTTTTCAGTAGGGCTCTCGAAAAGGAATATGCACATTGTTAACATGAGTACTCTATTCAATCCATTTAACCTTTAATCAATGTCGGATGGCCTAATACCGACTCATCCACACACGGGAGTTGGCCAAACAACGGCCCAACTATGGGAGTATCATATGTGCTTCTATTGATCCTTTGCCTAAATGTGCTACTGCTACGATTCCTTTGTCTGCTCTTGTTGCTACTCTTTTGTCTGAATTTGTTGCTCCTGATATTGCTAAAAGACTTGATGAAGACTTGAAGTGACAGAGGTGTGCAAAAAAATACAAAAGGAAGGGAATAAAAGCTGTCCCAGAACTAGCAGAAATCCAAAAGCCTACCCCGGAGCTAAAAATGGGACCTGCAACAGTTTGATGTTAAAAATGCACTTACATAGGGATCTAGAGGAAGAGATTTATACAAAGGTTCCACCGGGTTATGATAAGAACTTGGATGCTCACACAGTGTATAAATGCAATCTCCTCGGGCATGGTTTGGAAGATTTGCAAGGGTTATGTTGGCTATGGGGTATAAACAGAGCCAAGGTGATCATATACTGTTCATTGAACATTCTCCTTCGGAGGGAGTCACAACCCTACCGAATGATGATGAAAAGAAGAAAGCATTGAGTCAGATAAAAAAGCATTGAGTCCGTGTTTGACAAAAGAATTTGAGATCAAAACATTGGGAAACTAAAGTATTGCCTTGGAATTGAGGTTGCTCATTTGAAACAAGGGATTTTTAATGAAACATGCAAGACAGCATGCAACCAATGGCTACCCCAATAGACCCGAATCTCAAACTTGGGACAGCAGATGATGATGTTGCAGTAGACTGAGAGATGTACCAGCTATTGATAAGGAGGCTCATTAATCTCTCCCACACACGACCGGATATAGGATTTGCAGTAAGTGTGATCAGTCAATTTATGCACAACCCAAAAGAGGTTCATTCGCAAGCGGTCAATAGAGTACTACATTATCTTAAGGGAACACCAGGAAAAAGGTATCTTATTCAAAAGAAATTGAGGTTTGATACTTGAAGCATACATTGATGCAGACTATGCTGGGTCTATAGTTGATAGAAGGTCAACATCTAGATATTGCACTTTTCTTGGGGGAAATCTTGTGACATGGAGGAGCAATAAACAAAATGTGGTAGCTCAATCAAGTGCAAAAGTAGAGTTTAGGGCAATGACTCAAGGTGTTTGTGAGCTACTATGGTTAAAGATTATTCTTGAAGACTTAAAAATAAGTGGGAAGGCCCTATGAAACATACTATGACAACAAGTCTGCAATCAGCATAGCTCACAATCCAGTGCAACATGACCGGACAAAACATATTGAGATTGACAGACATTTTATCAAAGAGAAGCTGGACAGGGTAGTGATTTGCACGCCTTATGTATCAACAACCGGTCAACTAGCAGATATTTTAACAAAAGGATTGAATAGCTCAATGTTTCAAACTATTGTATCCAAAGTGGGAATGGAGGATACATATTCACCAGCTTGAGAGGGTGTGGAGAAAAATATATGAATCAATTCATTTTAGAAAACAAATATCTTGTTTCCTTTGTATAGGTAGAGATCCCATGATTCATGGATAAGATAGGAAGATAGGATGATCCCATGATTCATGGAATAAGATATAGGATAGTTTCCTTCTGTCTTTATTAAGATTTTTTCGTATATAAGTCTTCATATCTTTGTATGTAAGATGACACAATTTTTTCATAGAATTAATTTTCTTCATTTGAATTTTCTAATCAAAATCTGAGAGGAATCTTCAGCCGTCGGCTGTTTTGGGCTAACGGATTTTCTCGTTTGATTATTCTTGGTTCTATCATTAAATCTATCCAATCCAAATGATTTAGATTATTTGGTCTTGAATTAGTATAGGTTCCATGTTTGGCTCCTAAATCTTTATAGCAAAATATATTCTTTTATACTCAATAAAAGTTCCCCAAAAAAAACCAAAAGCATTGCTGTCACAAATTGTGCTCAATATTCCATCACACACAGAGATAAAGTTGGATATTCAAAGGAAAAGGCTTTAAACACGTACATGCCCCGCATAATATGCACGGATCTGGAGTTCTTTATCAACCTGAATAGTTTGCTTTAGATCCACTGCAGTGACTGCATAAGTACAAGATGATTAAATAAGAAAATATGACTCCAAGATAATATTTCTCAAAGGCACTTAGTTCATCCATCCAAGTGCTCAAGCCATAAATCATAATCCCCCATAGTTCAATTTATAATTGAGGAGCATGGATGACTAATAAGGAACACAGCAATGAATAGGTGTAATAACTGATTATGTCATTCTTTTAATAGAAATTACATATACCCCTTTTGAAGCCAGAAGTAGTGTGTATGTTTTTGAGTTTGTGAAATTTTAGACAAAAGCAAAGAAAAAACAAAAAAAAAAAAATCCAAGTAATTTCTAAATATTATAATATGTTGAATGGGATATACAGTTGGTGCACATGTATATTTTTAGAGCACTTAGAACACTTCGCATATCTAAGTATACAAAAAATTCCATAAATGAAAGGCCACTCAAATGCAATCGAAAGTGTTAAATCATAATTTCACAATTATTGACTTCTATATGTTGTGCAGTACTCACTCTTGAACACAATCTTGCATCCAACAAGTTCCCAAAAGGAAAACTGGAAAGAAGTCTTAGAAAATAGCATTTGTCAAGAGAAACAAAAGGAGAAAATTTTTCATTGAAAACAAAGTTTCTGTGCAAAGAATTTAACATGGTTTAGGATCTAAGGCTAAACTTCTGCGAAAAAAGAGGTTTCTAAACATGTCAGTATCCTAGGCCATGAGATATAATATAAATTTCCAATTCCAACCATCAATGTGCAACAGTTTCCAAGCGTCAATCCACAAAACAGACGTATCATCTAAGGAAGTAATAATGAAATATGTTTGGCCTTCAAATATTGAATAATCTGCACACAATTTATTTTGATATTCCAATAAGAAATAAGAAGAGTTGTAAGGCAGATCTTACAATCTGTCATCCCTTCCCCATTCAGGATTTCAGTTCATTAATAGGTTAAAAGTTTAAATAATTGTAAGGAATAGTATAGTCATGAAATAACTGATAAACTCGCAGTATCTCATGTTGTGTGTCAACATAATAGCTAGATAAAAGGACATATAATTATGATACCTGCCAAAACAAAAAATTCATGACAAACACCATAAAAGTCCAGCTTCCAATATCCTATCAATAGACTGAAAACCTTCATCTTTTAGCACAATAACTTCATCTGCCAGTTCATGTCAAGCATATAGCTTGAATCATATATCTGCTACATTTCAATGGAGGACAGCCATTTCAAGACACAAATTACCAATCTTATATGCAGGGTACAATTGAATCCCAATGCACCAAATGGTGTTAGTTGTTGCATGTGACATCCGAATGCTGTTAAATGTAAATACTTTAACAATATGTGTGTATTGTGCAATATTCCTTGCTTTTTAGTGTTTAAAATGCCATAGCCATCCCACAGCTGCTCCCCTTACAAAGAAAAAAATGGAAAAGGAAGCGGTGACCTAAAGCAACAAACCCTCCTAACTCCTGAGGGCAGCTCATTTAACAACCAAGCGGATTTGCCAAGCTGCCAAGTAAACATTAAAGTTCTGTTGCAAGGATCAATTGTAATGCCACAAATAAGTACCTTCATTTTACAAGCTACATCTTGGTAGATATTTGAACTGAATATATATTCTAATGCCTCTTCCTAAGAACTGTGAACCATTGGTTATTCCTGTGTTTCTGATAGAACCCATGTAATTAACTAATGAATCATCCTTATGCTGTATACAAAGTTATGTATTTAAGAAGCCAATTTGAGATAAATGCTCTCTTAGGTCAAATTATTAAATATTATATCCAAATTAACAACATTATAATTGAAAATGAGATTGATGAAAAGCTTAGAGAATAAAATCATCATGTACCTTTCCTCATACATTCAACTATGTGCTCAGAACTAAACTGCTCCTCTTCTCCTCTTCCATCAACCATCACTTTCCGATAATCCTCAAGCATTAATGGAGCTAAGGCTTTTGTAGGAAACTGTGTAAAGTTCATACATATGGTTCATTGAACAGGGAGCAATATTACTGAGCCAACATCTTGAAAAAAAATGAATTAAAATCATGTACACCAAAATTTCTAAGAAAATATGATGAGTTAAAAAATACCGTCATGTAAATTGGACCATTATATCCACAAACTTCAGTAAAATATGGGAGAGCTCCAATGTGGTCTAGGTGGAAGTGGGTGATTATTATGCAAGAGAGTGAATTTGTAAAGTCTTCAGAATTGGAAATCTGAGAAAAGTCAGGGTATCGGCGGTGGTCTAGGTAACCCATGTGCATACCACAGTCAAACATTATTCTCTTTCCATTTATTGTCACAACCACACAGCTCTTTCCTACCTCTTGACCAGCACCTGCCCAATCATGTGCATCTCTTAAAAACCACTCATAGGAGACAAACTTATTTATACAAAATGCTTAGGCACTCCAATTTTCAAAAGACGAAATAAAAATCAGTTACCTAGAATGAGGCACTCAATAGCCATGATATAAGGTACTGTAGTGTGTACTCTTTTAGTGGGTGAAGTATCAAATCCTGTGGTCAGTTCAATGACAAAAATGAAAAAGTGGAGGATGCATCTAAAGTTAAGAAGATCATAGCCAAACAAGAAAGAATAAAATGAGCCAAGCTTAAGTTGAGTGTTGTGCATCAATGAGTGTTCACAAGCTCCACAATCCTATTCTCAAGCTGAAGCTCCAAGCAGGAAACTGAGCAATAGCTGGACTCATAGGCTCATGTAAATGATTAAGTCAAGCATGGCAATACAGCTCCTAAATATACAATCTCTGGAACTTCCTATTTTATTCAAATGATCTTGCATACATTCTAGGAACAATTAGGTTATTCAGCTAAAAGCATGATACAATACATTTCTATAAAAAGTTGTTATCATGCTCGTCCTTGTGAACAGAGAGCACTAACACTTAATCCAATCTGATGGTGTGCACAGACAGGAAGCATCATCTCCAAGCATGCTTATAAGCCAAAAATAAACTGGCGAACATTAACAAGGTTCCTAAGATTCATTGCACATTCACCAATCATCCAAATTCAACCATGCTAAGGAATAAAATACTTCATGCATTTCAAAACAAGTCTTAAGGCTGTCTACATTCCACACACGAATTAACGTTTTAAAATACATAAAATTAAGTATTCTACAAAATGTTAGGACAATCTGAAAGCCCAAGTTTGCAAACACAACCAAAATGATAGTACTATTCAAAGACTTTGGCGATTTAAAACATTTTGAGGCCAACCAAGCCCAAAACAAATACATCCACATGTTTGACAACCACACTCTTTCATGTTGCAAATTAACAACAGAGATAAACATAATTCTAAACGGTTTTGTAAAATTGCAACCACCTACACTTATAAAGAATACTTTGATAGTTCCATACCAACACTATACAGGATAAGGGATATTCTTCAAAAATCCATTAATATGCAATAAATCACATTGACGCACGATTAGAAATGCTTGAAGCAAATAGAATACAACAAGCAACACCAGTAACAACGATTATTCACGAGAATCCCCTTACCTAAGCTTCCAAAATCGAAATCACTACCCGTTCAACAGCCGCGGTCGGAGGTCACCGGATTTACTGCTCGTCTTTGGACGGAGGAGAGGCTGCCTCACCGGAGAATAGAGTAACTCACCTTGAATGACTTCTCTCGCACAGCTCTCGGTCTCTCTCTCTCTCACTCTAGCTAAGCATCAAACTCCGGAGGAGAGGACATTGTTGGCGCTGTGTCGGAGGGGAACCAGGCCTGCTCCCGTCGTCGGCTCTTCCTCAACCAGCCCTCTCTCGTTCAACCTTGAGTTTATTAATCTCTCTCTGTTACAGGTCTATCGGCGTAGGCTGGCTAGACGTCGCCAGAGAATATGGTGGAGGGAGGAAAGGAGAAGCAGAGGAGAGGGGTCGGCGCCAAGGCACGGAAATTTTCAATTTGTGTATGAGTGTGTTTGTTTGTTTTAGCAAAAATTAATGTAAAATTTGCACACGAATCGATTATAGGGAACAAAAATTAATACTTGGGTTTGGGATAAGATTTTTGACAATTGAGTCAAATTTATTTAATCGATTTAATTAAACGAGTCAGGTTAAGATTTAAATTTTTATTTAAAAATAATTCGTTTAATTTGTTTAATTAATATTATTTTAAATTTAAATATATTTTTTATATTTTATCAATAAAATTCAATATTTATGGTCAATTTTATAATAATAAAAAATAAAAAAATAAAGAATTGTGTTCGTGTATGTTAATTCGACTTTTAAATATCAGTTTCATGATATGAATAAATAGTTTTTGCTTTAAAATGTATATATATATATATGTTATGTATTTGAAAAAAAATTTAGTAGAATTGTTATTTTAAATTAAAACTTAAGAATTTTAGACTTAAATAGGTTATGCAGGTCATGTTGATCCGATTAATAAAATGTAATGTTGGAAATATCAATTCATTTAATTAAATAGGTCAGGTTCAGGTCAAAGGTTTTGTAACCCTTTTAAAGCTGATCCCACCTGATTCGTTTTCTAACGAGCAAAAATCAATTACAGTCTCATTCAAAACTAATTTTTTTTTTATTTTTGTTCTCATTCAAAAATATTTATCAAAACTAGTCCCACACTAAACAAAACTTATCTTTTTTTAGTTTCACCTTTCAAATTTTAACAGATTGTGCTGACATGACAGTTACAGAAACTAATTTGACAGCTGAGTCGGACCGAATACGGTCGTATCACATAAAAAATGGCCGTGTTCAATCTTAGAGCTCAGCCACCGCCCTGACTGATTGGAACACGGCCGTGTTGAACAAAAATACGCCTGTGTTTGCTTCAACCGCAGAACACACCCGTTTCAGTGGGCGTGTTCAAACACGGCCGTGTTTATACAAACACGCTCGTGTTCGAAGTCAGAACACCAGTTGTTCTTCACTTTTGTACGCACGTCCGTGTATATAAATGTACACGGCCGTGTTTTGACCTCGTATTTGCCTCAACCGCATAACACACCCATTTCAGTAGGCGTGTTCAAACACGGCCGTGTTTATACAAACACGCCCGTATTCGAAGTCAGAACACCAACGAAATGGTTTTAAACACGGACGTGTTTAGTCGAACACGGTCGGGTTCAAGGGTACAGAATTCCCTAACGTTAGCATACCTTTCGCATTTTCTTCTTTAGATCATTATATGTTTTTAGTATTACCAATATATTAAATAGAAATAAAAACCTAATAATATATTATATTTAATTAAAAAGTCATTTTACATAAAATAGACATCAAAACAAAACATTAGCAAACTACATAATATCTATTTAATCAAAGTCGTCATGTCCTTCATCCATCAAAACATCCATGTTGTGCATATTTTCACCTTCCCGTCCTGCTGAAGTGTCCTCTGCTGGGTTGGTGCATAAGAAGGCTGGGCCGACGGGTAAGGAAGCGAAAAATGCTCGTAAAGACCTGCAAACAATGTCCATTTCCTCTCATCCATATGATCAAATCGGCGATTCATCTCAATACGCAACTCAGCGACGGATGATTCATTGTTGGAGACCCTATGCTGAACTCTACGACGAGGCTGAGGGCGCGCAGCCTCTCGGTCAACCTCGTCGCTCTGTGCAGGATCATCCGGATCCATCTCCTCGTCCACCCTACCAACCAAAACTTAACACTCTCGTCCTCCTTGTGTTCTAATTTTCGTAACCATACCCATAGACTGTAGGGTGCGAAAATCACACGGCATCATAAGACAACAAGGCTCCTTTGTCACATCATCAAACAGTCCAAGATCTTTTGTCAATCGAGTGACATAAGACCCAATAGCAATGCCTCCAAGACAGAGATACCAAACAGTCTATCTTGGCAGTTGTAGACCATGGCATGCGCTTCATTTACGTGTATGCGGGTTTTGAGGAGAGTGAACATGACTCCCGTGTTCCAAATCACGCAATATCCGTTTCACAAAACTTTCAATTGCCCCCGCCAGGTCAGTCTACACACACTCCTACGCTAAGTCAGTTTACGTGCGTCCACCCATGGATATTCCGCTAACACATAGGGATTGTGATAGAAAAATACTACCTGGTGGACTAGGCATACGCCAACTCCGCATTGACACTCACCCTCTTCCGATCACACTGCTACCACTCACAGACATTTTGCAACACCCCAAGGGGTCTTAGCGGTCCTAAAGAATTATTTAACTATCAACACTTTCAACTTTGCAATATCGTGGAGCGAGCACTCGGAGTTCTTAAGCGAAGGTTTGCTATCTTGGGGGGGTCCGAAGCCGAATTATAAGTTTTATTGGCAAGTAAACTTGGTGTAAGCTTGCGATACTGTCCACAATTTGATGCTAGCCGGGGGTGAGAATACAGAAAACCATGACGGAGAAGGCAGTGGGCCTGCACTTGAGGCTACAATAAATTAATTTGATACACCAATCCATCGCATTTTCACTCACCGATTAATTGGTTGCATAAACAATCAATTATCCAACATATATACAATAACAAAAACCAAAGCCGAGAGCAGGAGGATGGGGCAAATGTGGACACTGTTTGGATGAATATTCTAGAGCTGGCAGTAGGGACTTTGAAGTTGGACGGTATGTGAAGAAAGAAGAAGAGTAGAGGAGAAAGTCGGGGATGAGAGGCACGAATGGTAAGATTGGAGAAGGTACTAAAATGCAAAAACAACAATTTTGTTTTAAAATAATAATTATAAAAGAAACTATATATATATATATATATGTCATACACGTACTCTCTTTTTTTTGTTGTTGTTATTTTTAAATCAAACTTAAACTTTAAAGACATATTCGACAGGTGTTTGTTTGGAGGATTTTGAAAAACTTCTACTATTTATATAAAATAAATTTTCAAAAAATATCAAATCAAACACTTACCTTTTTATTTTCTATATCGATATTTTTTTATATTATATCATACAATTATTTCCATTCAAATATTTTATTATTCGAATTTTAACAAAAAAATCCAAACCCGTAACATAAAATCTTTTATATAGTTTCGTTGTCCTAACATAAAAAAAAATATACTAATAAAAAAAAAAAAGTAAGTACAATGTAAGAAGACGACGGCTTTTTGGTATATATTAATACAATACAATCTGCCTCGTATATGCTAGTATTAGAAATGAAAGGGTGTGGTGTGGTGGTGCTGTTAATTAATTAGTTAATTCCCTGTCGAGCTCCAAAATGAGGGGATGAGGTCCGAAAATGGAGGCCAAAGTGACGGCTTTCCGCTGCGGAATCTGCAACCTTATCTTCTCCAAATCGCCGCCGTCCAGACACCAATCGAATATTCCGAGATTCTCCTTCATCCTCTCCCCGTTGAAGCTCTTCACCACCATGCTCACCTTCTGCTCGTAGATCCATCGCAGACCCACCTGCAATGCATCATGAATTATCGATATATGCCGTATGTACGTATCAATCAATTCATTAATTAAATTTCATTAAAAATAAATTAAAATTTAAAATTTAAAAGACGACGCACCTGCGCAGGGGTTCTTCCCTTAGCTTGGGCAATGGCGGCCAGCAGCTGGCTGCGGAGAATCCTGGCGTCTCCCCATTTGGTATTGTTGGCGCCCAGCGGAGAGTACGCCGTCACGTGCACACCCTTCGCTTCGCACGTGTCCCTCAGCTGCTTCTGCTGCCATCCCGTGTTCATCTCCACCTGCACCAGTTACTCATTCCTAATTCATATTCTTATTATATAAACCCTAATTATATAAATTTGAATGCTACAGACTTGATTTAGAGCTGGAGGAATTGTGGCGATGGCGACGAGATGCTCGATCATTTTACTGGAGAAATTGCTGACGCCTATGCCTCTCGTAAGCCCTAGCTTCTTGCACTCTTCCATGGCCCCCCACGCCCCCTCCACATCCAAACTTTTTACCACTTCCGCCGCCACCGGAACTGCGCGGATCTGCTCCGTCAGCCGCACCGGCAAGTGTATCAGGTACATATCCACGTATTCCAATCCCAAGTTCCTGCCAAATTCATCATCAATCAATTGTCAATTCAATTATTTCAGTATTATTATTGGTTAATTACTATAAATATATATAATTAATGACTAGGGAGGGTACTGTAGGCTCATTTTGCAGGCGGCGACGATCTGCCCAGGATCGGCGAAGGTCGCCCAGAGCTTGGTGGTGACGAAGAGTTCGTGGCGGGACGCGACGAGGCCGAGGCGGAGGGCTTCGGCGATGGCTGCGCCAACGGCTCGCTCGGAGCCGTAGGCGAAGGCGGTGTCGAAGTGGCGGTAGCCGAGCTTGATGGCTTCGAGTATGGCTGCCTTGGTCGTCGCGTGATCCGCCGGAGGATACGACGAGGTTCCTAATCCGATCACCGGCATCGGCTTGTCGCAGCCTCTCAGAGTCACCCACGGTACGTTAATCGCCATAATAACAATAATAATAATAATAGTGGTTTTGCAATATAGATATATATACTTATATAGGCATATGTATATATATATGTATGTATGTATGTATGTGTGAACTAGGAAACCCGACTCTACCAAAAAGTGATCGCCACAAAACCCGCTTTAATAAAAGAGACTTAACCGTCAAGGCTAGGAAAGAAATTTTGGAGTCTTCCGATTAAAATAAACTAGAGAGAGGGAGACAGATATTTGGAGTATGATTTTGAAAATTTTTAAAAGTACTAAAATTTACTATTTCCGTTCGGTCTATTTATTCTTTTTTTTTTTGTGATTGAATATTAATTATTATATCAAAATATAATATAAATTAAGAGAAAATTGCAAATAGAAGGACATTTGTAAAAAAATAAAAAATACAAATATAAGATATTTTTAATGTCAAGTACAGTCACATAAAAAGTAAATTTGACATTTAGAGGTGAACGGAGAGAATATATTATTTCGTTTCACTAGTAAATTTTTCGGCCGTTGTAATCCTTATAAATTGCAACACCAAGCATAATAGTGGAAGATTTACTAGAGGCGGTGAATAATTCTTTTGAACAGTTGTCACACAACACATTGAATATGTATTTTGGAGATAATAGGCAATCTAAGTGAGAACAATTACGAAATACCCTACTTAGAAAATGAGATAATGAGAAAGATTGGAAGTTTTCTTAAAGACATCCAAGTGAATTTGGAATTGATCAAGACAACCATTGATCATTTGATAAATGCTAACTAAGAGAGGATTTGGAGGATATCATACAAATGTCAGGAAATGTAATGTTAGGAAGGGCCATAGGTAGTAATGACTGTTTATTGTTACAAATTAAATATCTCACAATAGGAAAGTTGTTAGAGCAATAGCAATAGTTATATATTTTGATTATGTAGTACTTTGAAATTTTTGTATGGTTATTAAATAAATATGATAGTTGTTTTGAGATCAACATTATTGAGTGTCATTACATCGTCTTCAAGTACTTACAATTACTGGAAAATCACTCTTGATACTTTCTGAAAGAAAATAGAATATTATTCTTGAGAATTGTATAAATAAATAGTATTCATTCAAATCTGAAATGTAAACCAATTATACCCTTTAAAAAAAAAGGAAAAAAAAAAAGTAAAATGAACACATACTCAGAGGTGGGCAAAATATTCGAACCGAACCGCCGAACTGTCGAACCGAACCGAATTTTCGGTTAACCGAGCAAATTCGGTTCGAATACAAATACTTCATATTTGGTATTTGTTTGGTTCGATTCGATTTCGGTTTCTAACTTTTTTTTTCGGTTCGGTTGACCGAACCGAATAATTTTATAATAAATTAATTATGTTATATTATATATTTATAATTTATTTATATAAATTATCTTTAATAATATACTTTACCGCCAGTCCCCTAGTGCAGACCCAGTACAAACTCAGTGCAAACAGCCAAACCCCATCTCCCAAATCACAAACGCGATTTCACAACCCTAATTTCTTCATCTACCTCCCGGACGTTGGCAATACTTCACCAGTTCACCCTCTTGCGATTTTTCGGCCAATCAGCGGCGGCTTCATCTTGTTTCTGCGATTTTTCATTCCATCTCTCAGCACGGCTTCACCCCCTCTTCTGCAGTTTGTGTACAACTATCCAGACAATCGTTTTCAACTTTTCGCTCAGAATACAACTGCAAAATCTTTCGGGTAACAACTACAAATAGTCGATTCAAGATTATAAAATCTTTTCCATTTTTTTTTTCATTTTATTTACATTGTACAGAGATTTTTATTATTTTTTTGTGTAATAACCGTTTTTTCAATTTTTTTCCAAAATATAAATATAATTGTGCAGGTTTTATATATATATTTTTTTAACAATTAAAATGCTAACTTATTTATTTTGAATTCAAAATTGGTAATGAGTGTTAATGGAAGTTTATCTATTATTTATATTTTTTTCTTTATTTCTCACTAAATAAAATTATTTTTTATTTATGCAGGTTTAATATCCTATGGAATCTTCTATACCAGAAACACAATCTCAATCAGAATCAGAGGATTTTCAAACTCAAGCAGCCGATAATTGTCCTGCTCTTAAGGTACTTAAATCTCGATTTGTTGCTTGGGATAATTTTAAAAAGACTAAATCTGGAGATAAGACAAAATGCAATCATTGTTCTACATTGATTACGTGCAAATCTAAGTTAGGCACAAATATTAGTGCTATGTTGAATCATTTGAAAATGTGTAAGCAATTCTGAATGAGGTTGAGGATGATGGGCATATAGGTAAAAAATTGAAACAAACAACAATGCAAAAAAAGAGAATGAATGTCTTGGTGTTAATTCTTTTTTGTCATTTTATCAACAACAATGTCGTAAAGCTCTTGCTAAATGGATTATTGTTGATGAGATGTCATTTAGAATTGTAGAATCAGAAGGATTTCATGATTGCATAAGTGTCATCCAACCTCGATTAGGAATTCTGTCCCGAATGCATTAAGATTTTTGAATATGAGAAGTCAAAGTTGGAGACCTTTATCAAGAATTACAAGGATAGTGTTTGTTTGACCACAGATATTTGGACATCTTGCCAAATTTTGAGTTATATGTCATTAACTGCCTATTTTATTGATGATGATTGGAATTTGCACAAAAAAATTTAAACTTCTCACCAATTATTGGTCATTCGGGTTATGCGATTGGAAAGAAAGTTAAGGATTGTTTGGTGACTTGGAAAATTAAAAATGTTTTTACTATAACGGTTGACAATGTGAGCGCAAATGATGTTGGTTTAAGATATCTAAAAGATAGGTTGAAGAAATGGGGATGGGTGACTTTGGATGGAAAGTTTTTACATATGAGATGCGGTGCACATATTTTGAATCTTATTGTTAAGGATGGATTGAATGAAATAAAGGGTTCAATTGAGCGAATCCGGTCTGCTATTCTCTATGTGAGGTCTTCTTCAAATCGTACACAAGCATTCAAAAAATTGATGGAAAAACAAAGATTGAATACGAATGCTATTGCTTCATTGGATGTCGATACAAGATGGAATTCAACATATAAAATGTTGGATTCCGCCTGAAGAGTGAAAGATGCGTTTGATTTGTTGGAATGCGAAGATGACAAATTTAAGGATGAGTTGAAAAAGAACGACAAAGTGCCACCTACAGAGGATGATTGGTCTTATGCGTGTGGATTTCTACCATTTTTGAAATGTTTTCATGATACAACTGTTAGAATCTCTGGCTCTAAGTATGCAGCTGAGAATTTATATATGAAAGAAATTTTTCGAGTTGCATATAATATTCAATCAATGGTGGAAGATTCAGATTCATTAGTTAGATCAATGGTTTCCAAGATGTCCGAAAAGTTTTTTAAATATTGGGGAGATTGGAAAAATGTTAATCCAATGATTTATCTTGCAACTATTCTTGATCCGTGCCATAAAATGCGTTGGGTGAATTTTATGATAAATCGCGTGTATGTATTGAGTGAAGCAAAAGAATTGCTTCAATCAATTCAGGATGTTTTGAGAATGATGTTTGATGAATATAATTCCACTTCAATATCTAACATTGAAGTGGAACCTTCTAGCATGGCCTGTTATAGTGCTACACCATATTTTTCCCAAATTGATGACTTTGAGAAAAGATTACAGAAAGAATTGGAGGAATTTGAAGCAATTGAAGTGCATGGTGTGTTGAAAATCTGAGTTGGATAAATACTTGAATGACGAATAAGAAAATATGACCCAATCGAATTTTGATATCTTGTATTTGTGGAAAACAACGGGGTCAAAATATCTGACCTTTTCTCGTATGGCAAGAGATGTATTGGCCATTCCAGTATCTACGGTTGCTTCAGAGTCAGCTTTCAGCACGGGAGGTCGTGTTATTGATTATTATCGGAGTTCTCTTACCCCAAAGTTGGTTAAAGCACTCATATGTACACAAGATTGGATTCGAAGAGGTAATCCAAAAATTGTGGATGAAAATGAGCGTGAAGATTTTGAAAAAATCGAAGCAGGTATTTTATTTATTTTTAAATACTTAGTAAAAATATAAATTTAAATGTAAAATATATGTTTTTGATTGTTTGTTAATTTTTTGTTTATAGCATGGGAAGGACATATTTTGGATTTAGATGAATAACATGAGGTAAAATTTCTTTGTAGTATCAGTATTTTTTTTTTATTTATTATAAATTGTTTCTTTTGTCTTGTTTTTTTTTTTAAATTTTTCTGTACAGTAAAAAAATATATATATATTATTACTCTTGAAAATTCACTTTTAATTTTAATTTACAGGTTGCTTCCATTACAAATTACTTATGTTATCAATTCCAGAAAATTTAGATTATCGAGCTTTCAACCTTTTGTGGTAAATAAATTTATTATTTATACTTGTAGCTTATTTCTTAGTTTTATTGGTTTTTTTTTAAATATTATACTCCCTCCGTCCCGCAACAAGGGTGCCGTTTGCTTTTTGCACGTAGATTTTTTAATATTAGTATTATATTAGATTATAATAAAAAAGACAAAAATATCCCTATTAGTATGGTGTAATATAAAAGTAATGACATTTGTGCAATATATTGTAAATTGAAAGGGTATTTATTATGTGAAGTAGGTAGTACAATTACTAAATTAAGAAATGGTAACCTTGTAATTTTGGGACGGATGAAAATGAAAAATAGTAACCTTTTAATGGAACGGAGGGAGTATTATTTTTTTTTTTTTTTCAGGAATTCAGCTGTTTGAAGAAAGCTTGAATCTCCAGTGTGCAGTTTTTTTTTTTAAATAAATTTTATTATACTATAATTGCAGTGTATTATTATTGATTTTTTCTAAAAAAAATTATTTTATTATCTTATTTTTCAGGAATTCGGCGGTGAAAAGATGCACACACAGATTTATTTTCATGGATATTGTAATTTGACTTTGAAATATGCTTTATGTTTCATGTTAATTTGTTT